CGGTGAATTAATTGTCGGTGAACTAAGATGTCGGTGAAGTGATTGTCGGTGAAATGAGCACCACCCATTTTGCAAGGGGGGTACGCAAAAAGGGGGTACTTTAGTCAGTGCACTACGGTAATTTATGTTTTCAAACCTAATAACTTTCCGACACTGTGCAAAACCTGTTTTAAATTATGATCCCGTGTAAATTATTTTTTGATCGTGTTAATAATATAACACATGTGATACATTAATTAATTCATTTTTTCATGAATGTGTATACAGATTATTCTAAGCGATCTTGTGCATCTTGACCTAGAACCAAATGATCTTCCGAGATTTCCAGCTTTAATTAGTATGATTGCATTAGTACAAGAACCCCCGCGTATTGATGGTGAGGACGCTTTTATGACGGTTGTTGTAACTGACCACATAGACCAAGATCAATGTGACACCGAAATAAAATGCCACTACTTAGCATCCGCGCCCCATCTAATTCGCATAACTCCAGCTATAAAAAAGAATTCGATTCTTTATATTAACGGTGAATTTTTTTTGTACAAAAACGAAAGTTATGTACACGCTAAAAGTATAACCTTTTCAGGTCATCTGAAATCATCGATTAATGTAGATACTTCCTCTAAAATTCCCTGGGATGATGAAATTTCTGATGAATCGAGTAAAACTGTTAGTTTTGCTGAAACAATAGCCGCAAAATTTGATATTAAACATCCAAAAAATAAAAACTCGCCGATGATTACTCCACCTGTAACTAATTTAATCGCTGAACCATTTACGCAAGCTAATCCCGATAGAGAACAATCAACCGTTAATCAATATGCAACTAACTCTTCTTCGGCTGCTGAATCACATAAAAGAATCAATTCTAATAAAAAATCTTCAGTTATTAAGGTACCTAAAACTAAACTTTCACCAGCTAAACCATATACGCAAACTAGAAATCGGCGCAAGTTAACAGATCTGGCAAAAGACATGTTAATTAATCCGAACGCATCAGAGCAATCTCCTTCCGTTTCCCCTGATCATCAAAATTTAACTTAAAGTAAATATATAATTTGATTCAATGCTTTACTATGATCAGTCTATAAAATAAATCATTTATTTTATGGTCCTTTTTATATTTCATCACTATTAAAAAACTAATAGATTTGCATACAGTAAAAGTTTGTATTTACTTATATTTAAAATAAAATAAGATTTACTTTAATAGTTGTCATTCCAACCAACTCGTTACACCTTTACTAATCTATCGAAGTTAATAAAATCAACTTACTGTAAAACGCAGTGCAATGTATCCGGGTATTTTACATTCCACGTCACAACAAACCTTGATTTATACCCCGGGTATATTGTATGGCACGAGTATATTACGTAGGGTATTTTATAAGGAGAGTATATTAGCGCATTATGAAAAAAACCAAATCATTATTCAATTGTCCTTGATTTATACCCGGATCTCTGATAAAACACCACAACAAATAACCTTGAATCATGCCCGGTCTAAATCAAGGGGGTACTTTGCACTGCGTTTTACAGTAAATTGCTACATATCATATCCAATAATTTATGATATATATCGAATTTAAAATCAACTTAAGTTTCTTTTAAATTTTGTACTAACTTGAGCTGCACTTAAATTCCATTTCAACTTAAATAATTTCTAAAACACTAAATCTATTCCAACATGCCTCTATAAAAAAAAATCTTTCCTTTCCGAACATGTTTGTTGGATGACACGTTTTATATATGTTTTTTATACGTTTTTTATACATTTTTTATACGATAATTTTCAATCAAAAATTTTCTATTTTTACATCCCGTACAAACATCATAATGAAAACAGTACAAGCATAAACCCCGTTCGAAAAATCGACTCCCTTCCAATTATTTTTTAGACAATGCTACGATAACTGTACAATGTTTTTTATAGAGCATTGATTAGTATAACAAATTTAAAACGATTAATCGAATTCATATATAGTTGTTACTCTATTATTTACACCTCATTCACTTTGATTTATTGCATAAACATGAAACCAATTATATAAAAGATGCAATTTGAATCTCTTACGTATGTACGTACGTACCTGTTGAAAATCCAAACAGGTTATCTACTATCCCGGATCAAATATAAGATATCCAAAAAATTGAAGTGTAACTACACTATAAACACGTGATCATCGATTAAAGAAGCTATACCAAACAGGTTTTTAAATCTTCGGGTATAGCATGAGGCTTATCGGCCGAAATACAATATACGGCACAATAAATAAACGCGACAACCGAAGAACTGGAACGCGTAGACAAGAAAATAAGAAAAGAACAAGTTATTTTATTACAACTTATTAAGAGTTGATTAAATGAAAGAATGGTGATTGTAGTTAATAGAAAAGTCCACCCTTACAATAAGATAGCCCATTTGAATAGTCATTTAGCCTTTTCCTTTTCCAAAAACGCATTTTTAAATAAAAATCGTTTAAAGACGAAAGATTTTCTACTTTCCAAGCCTTCTACGTCTTTAGCAACGCTAAAAGTTATAAAACTCCGCAATCTCACTTTTGTAAAAAAAATTAAAAACCTTCAAGTTAACAAACTCCCTCATAAAGTAATATTTTCAGATCCTAATTTAGCCTAATAAAAATAAAACAAGTTTCTCTAA